CCAATCTCAGAAGAAAAACCAGGTGCAGGAGGATGGGATGTACCTGTTCTTAAATCCTGAAGGACATATTCATCAGAAACAGTTCAGTTCACTAACTACAGATAATACTTCCTTAGTTTGATAAATCCATTTTAAATGCAAAACAAGTTTTGGGTACTTTTTTATAACCTTTTTCTCTTGTGTATCCAGCATACTGAGAGTAGTTTTATTTAACTAATTAAAAACAAAATGCTGTTTTTGTTAATTAGTGATTACCAACCAATGAGAATCAATCTTTCTTTAGGAAACTAAAAAAAGTAGAAATGCGAAACAAGATTACAATCAATGAGTTAAATAAAGGTTTCTTCCTTAGTGATTTAAACTAATCCACCCTGCCCCAAACACACCAGTCTTAAGACCGTCAGGCAGGAGCTATACCAGGGTTGTGTGTGATATGATTTTACATACTGTAAATACAAATATTTATTTACTTTTTATATTGACTTGTACATCACTTTGGTATTTTTTTTCAGTGTTTGGCAACATTGGTAGCCTTTTGTAAAGGCACTTGTGCTGTTTACCGTACTACTGATAAATTTAAGAAATCGTGTGAGGTGTCCCAAATTTATCTTGGAGTTTTTTAATGACTTTTTTTATTACTGATGTAATTAAATATATTCAGTGATGTTTCTCTCTGTCTTCTGGGCTGGTCAATCCTTGAGTATTTTAAATTCACTACATATTCTGAAGACTGGTGTGGTTGGGGTTATAGATTGGTTCTGGAGTTGTCCACTAGCATGATAAAACCTTGTAGTGGGTTAGGATTAAGCATTGGTCCTATGTTTTCTTAGTGTATATTTTTTGAGCTATGGTGCAAAACCACTTTGCTTTAGTTTTGACAGTGTATATACTGAAGTACCATTCACCAGTTCTTTATGGAACTGTATAATATCCGTGAGATGCAAACATTTCAAGATTTGTTATAGGAATAAAATGTGGGGTCTGCCTTTTATTTTCTCTTTTTTGTTGTTCCATTTTGTTATACCTTTTTATTTATTTTTTTTGGCAACCGCTCTATTTTTACTTTCCTTAGATGACACTTGTTTGACCAGACCTATCTACCAGCTTCTAATGTTCTTTGGTAGTTTTTTTGCCAGTTGTCTGTTTTGAATATGGTTTGATTTGAGCAGAAATGACCATTAGATGCTAAAAGTCTTTTTGCTTTTACTTAGAACCTGTTCTAACAGACTCGGTTTCTTTCAGATTCTTTGTTTTCCTGACAAATGAAATTTTGAGACTGTTTGTTTTTTCTCATACCAAGTCCTCCTTCTCTTGAAATTATAATCTTCAGTGAGATATCATAAATTTCTCATTTGGGAAGCATTCCACCTATATAACAGAATCTTAATCAACGATCTACCACTCCGTTTTTATTCCCTATTAGTATTTGGCTGATCAATATGTGATTGATTGATCATGTTAAATGTGTTATGTCTGTATTAGCTGATATCTGAATCTTATTTATTATACTTTAAAAGACAGTTCCATGCTTCATTAGACTTCTTTTAACTTTTTTCTTACACAAGAACAATAAAATTCAGGATAGTGATGCTGGTAAGCAGTATAATTGTTATGCTGTATACGTGCGTATGTTGCCAAGAGCTGAGTAGAGATGTGAAATATTGAAATATCATTTCAGAGTTAAGTTTAATGTATTCAGATTGATTAGCGTAAAATGTTTTTTTGCAGTCCTTGTATTATGGCTGTGTGGTACCTTATAACTGGGGGCATTTAGGCTGTTTACAATCTCTGAGGAGCAAACAAAGCAGTGTAGGCAGGGAACCATGCTGCCTGGAAAAACCCTCGTCAGGAGGGGGACACACAGCTCTCCTCCCAAAAGAGTAGATGGCTGGGAGCTGGAAGTCTAGAAGTGGATGCCCTTGCTGGACTATGGAAGGGAATACAGGTGCTGTTGTCCTGAACTGTGACAAGAAGTACCAGACAGACTGCGCACAGGAGGAGTGCCAGAGATGTTGGAGCTAGAGACTGTGCTTTGTGTGGGAAGGTTTTAGTCACTAGTTCTGGCTTCGCTAGTCCAGCAAGGGCACCCACTTCTCAGCTTCCAGCTCCCAGGCGTCACCTCTCTTGGGCAGAGACCTACATGTCTCTCCCTCCTGTCTTGAGTTTTTTCAGGCTGCACTGTTCCCTGCGTATGTTGCTTTTGCCTCAGAACTTACAAACAGCTTAATTACCCACAGCTATAATGTACAACACAGGTCTTTCTAAGTAAGCACATTTATTCTTAAGGTGAAAGCATTACAGAGAAAACATAGTAGAACAATTAAAGAACCTATACACATGCTAATAAGCTTACCAAAGATCACTCCAGCTCCAAAAAGAGCTCTGGTAGCGCTCAGTCCTTCAAATCTCACACAAGGGTTATTCTGCGGTTACAAGTTCATCATGTCTTTTGCTCAGAACAAGAACCCCTATGCAGAGGTTAGGCTTTCCTTTATATTAGTTTGGTCTTTGATCTGTGAATAGGTAGTTAGTCAAACAGTGGTTCTCTCCTTAGTGTATAGCTTTGAAAGGTTGGGTCCGGAAGTGGGAATTTGCTTTTACCTCCTCCCCCTGGGTATGTCCTAGGAAACTCACTTAAAAAGTTCCTTCTTGTCTGGCATATCATTTAAAATAGCCCTTTGAAGCTCATAACATTTCCCAGGGTTTACATTGGCCATGTCTCTTCCCTAGAGAAGTTGCATACAATCCCACCATTATACATAAACTGTACATTTATAATACAGGGGACTCCAAAGATATTTAAACTTAAGGCAATTTTTTACAATCTCTTTGGTAGATCTTATTGAATTATCTGTCACACGCCTCTCCTGGAAATGGGACCTTGTGATCTAAATGTCCTAGGCTCCAAGGTTGAGTATTGACACCCCAAAAGCTTAAGCACTTCCTTCCTCAGAGCTCCACCCTTGTGGGCACTCAGGTTTATAATTTACCCCTCCCAGGGACATGTGATAGTTGAAGTAAACAGACACAGGCCTTGCGGAAGGATTTCTAGAACAATAATTCTCTACTTTAAACAGCATGAGATACACAGATCCAGGTAAAACAATGAGCATCTATATACCATTACCTGCCTCAGGTTCACATGAGTTTTGAGCATTCTTTCGGGTTCATGTCCTTTCAGGGTTCCAAGACCCCTCTGTTGGTCTGCAGTCATCCAGTTCATTACTTCTCCTCTGAATCACAGTTTCTCTCTCTGACCCCTTCAGTAAATTCCATCTGTTCCAACTAGTCCGGCAGCCAAAAGGTTCCTCCTTTTTCAGGGAACATGCTCTTTGGTACCTCTCTCCTGAGCTGCTCAGCCTCCGGGTGTAAATGGCTGTAGTAACACCTCATTCTCTAGGGATCTGGAGAGAGTTGGCTTCACTTATTTTGCAGCTCTCCCTTCATTCTGTCAGGGCATGTACTGACACTTTAAAAACTCCCGCACCCCAATCTGGGTCTATGCTGGTTATGTGATATGTATGTATCTCGTGAACCTTGTAACCAATACTTGTAATCCCTCGTAACTCAAGCCTGACCCCAGATGTACAGGACCTTCCCTCTGAACTTGTGTATATTTGATTTTAAATGTTAACTTTAATAACATTTTCACTTGTTGATGGTCCTTAATGATGGTCAGACACTCCACCCTATCTCCTTAGCACTAGGGGAGTATCTGGAAAGAAGTAACTATCTGAGTCCAAGTAGGTAGCAATAAAACAGTGCGTGGGTAAACTGAGTCTCCATAAAAATACAGAAATTTCCTACATTCTTAACAGAATCTTAATTGCTTTTGTTTTGATCTGTGATGCTCACTGAGGTGCTGGGGGGAGATTAGTGTGTGTTGCAACATGTGAACTAGATCCATGTTCCTTAAGGTTAATTGATACCTTTTGTATTTTTAGCTTTTTGGGATGCTCTAAAATATGATACACATATTTGGTACACATTAGGAAATAAAATAATCCCATATAATAATAATCAGTGTCTTTATGAAATCGGAGAGAGTTTGAGACTGTGCTGGGTTAGGCCAAATGCAGATAAGACCAAAGCAGTAACAATGATTTGATGAGAGCAACAGGAATAGCTGGCGTGGGTGAGCTCTCTAGCCCTGGTTAAGAGATGGGGGGATGAGTCTGCTATTTTTGATTCAGGCTATCCAGTCTTGGACTTTTAGTAGGTTCATGACTGATTTTTGGAAGACCAAATAGTAGCCTGTGGTGAAGAAGGTTGGTTTTTTTTTTTTTTTTTTCTAGTTTGGGCCTATCCAGAAGTGTGTAAATCTTTCTCTGATGTGGACCTTCTTCCCTTATCCATGCCTGTGTCAGCTTGCGACATGGCTGCTGCAATTGCACTCTGTGGTGCTACACATTGGGACCATTTAGTCTCAGGGTAATGCAAAATGCAGCAGGCCATTTGAGTGATGTGTGAGGCAGTACTCTGGAAATTGCACTGATTTCTGTAAAGTTCCTGGGTGGAGGTCGGGCTGCTGGCTTTAACCTTAATGTCTTACGTGCTTTGGGATCCGAATGTATGATTCTTTCTTCTTGCCACAGTGGAGATTAGAGGAGGCACTTGAGATAGTCCCTTTAAACAAAAGGGAACTACCTTCTTACTGGAACTTGTTTCCCTTCTAACCCAGTTTACTTGTTGATGCTCAGGTGTTAGAGGTTCAAAGTTACAGGAAGATTTATGTGGTGTGTGTGTCTCTCTTATGACATGATATAACTTTTGTTTGGTGGGAGTGTGTTAATTGAAAATTTGGAATGAAGACAATTTGAAGAAAATGCGTACATTAAAATTTGGAAGATGCTTAGACTGTTGAATAGAGAAATGAAGAAAATAAAAAAAAATGTTTGCAAAATTTTGCTTGCTTCTGTAATTGGACATAATACTGTGTTCCTGCATCGTATTTTTATATTGTCACATTTAAAGTTAATTTTTGTTTTTGCTAATTTTAGTTAATGAAGAAGAACTAAAGAAAAGAGTAACTGAAGAATTGGCATTGGAACAAGCCAGGAGAGAGACTGAAGCTCAAAAAAGGTTTGTTTGTAATCAGCTGTAACTGTATTTTAAAAATGTATTTAATGCTTTTGATAGTGTTACAGTAACTGAGGAGGTATAGATCTGTTTAATGTAAATATTGAACTACAGTGCCATCAGTAGAAACTCTTAGCAGTCCTTTTGCTTACATTGTATGTTTTGGTGTTAAGCATGTGTTAAAACAAATTAGCTGATGTTCCCTTGCTGTAGCTCATATTAAATTTTGATCTAAATTGCTTTGACATCACAAGCCTGACTTGCCTGTCAGGCCAGTTTCTTCACTTTTTAAACTAAATCTTAGACTTCTCTGTAGTCCTAGAAAACACTTTGCTGCATGGAAATAACTCTAAGAAAAATGCAAAGGTGTGCTATTTAGGTTTGGCCTACTCTTAAGTTAGGTTAACATAGCTGTGTCTGTTTGGGGTGTGGAAAAAACACACTCCTGACCATCATAGCTATGCCGACCTAACCCCCAGTATAGGTGCAACTAAGCCGACAGTAGCTATGTTGAGGGAAGCATTCTTCCATCAGTCAGGGAGGTGATATTCCTACACTGAGGGGGGAAAAACCCTTCCGTTGGTGTAGGCTGCATCTGCGCTGTGGGGTTATGCTTGCGTAGCTATGCTGGTATAGTCTCTGGGCGTTTCTATATTACAGCCGCTACAGTGGCAGAGCAACAGTGATATAGCTGTGCCACTGTAGTGCCATAGTGTAGACGCTTCCTATGTTGATGGAAGGGGTTTTTCCATCGATGCAGTTAATCCATGTCTCCTGCATAGTCAGGTCAATGGAAGAATTCTTCCATCAGCCTAGCCACATCTACACCAGGGGTTAGGTCGATCTAATTATGGAGCTCAGGGTGTGACTTATTTCACTGCTCTGAATGACATAGCTAGGTCTACCTAATTTTTTGAAAATGTAGACGAAGCCTCTGTAGTGTAGACACAGCCTTAGAACTCTTCTGTTTGATCAAGAGTAAATTTTGACATCAGGAGAAGTGTTAGTTTCTTGTCCAGTGTTTCTGTGTTTTTGTTATGGTGCTTCTGGAACTGCTTTAATACCTAGTGCTTGCCTAGTGCTTTGAAGATGCAAAGTGCTGTACTAACAGCTCAGCGGAAAGAAGCTCCTTCATGATTTCTTTGTGTGTCCTTTTAATTTATTATCTATGTCTCACAAATGTTATTTATGACGAGTCGCTGTTTAATGGATCACAGGGAAAAGCGGTTATGAGGACTGGGATCCTGAAATTGTTAGGACATATTTTAAATACTGTACAATAATCCATTAGCAATTATTTTAAAAATATTTGAATTACTAACCAGGTTTTGGAGAATGTCTGTTCTGTCATTAGTTACACATACTCAAGTTAACTAATCCTTTCATGTTCTGAGTGCATTATATATATTTTTAAACATAGGGAACAAAAATCATAAACCAGGTAGTGTCCTTTCCCTTTTGAGTGAGGAGACAGGCTCATTATGGAAGATTTCTTAAATCATAATGTAATTAGTACTACTAAAATTGTCTGCATATATTTCAATTGTTTCCTGTACAGCACTACATTATTTAATTGGATTAGGTTGACGGAGTATATAATTGGATACCAGAATACAAACGCTCTAAAACATAATCAGTCCCCTTTGATTAAGCAGTAAAGCCAATCAATATGTTATGGTAAAATATATTCCCTTTGAAATATTATAGCTATTTTTAATTTAATTTAGAAATTTTGATTAGTACTTCCATTTAGTATTAACTTATTGCAATTTGTAAACATTTTTATCATGTGGAAATTTTTATTTTGTGGTTCTATTTTTTTATGACTTGAGACTTTCATTGGTGGATATTCTGTGATTCAATTTTCATTTGCCCTGCCTTGGTAAAAGGCAGACTGGCTTTGTCAGACCCTCTTTTCCACATCTGATTTCATGTTTTGCAAAGATCATTGCTGACAGTCATGCCTGAATTTGGCTAGTGATAAAGAATTTTGTTATCAATGTAAGAAAAATACTATAGGTGATGAGATCTCTCTTCTCTTGTCTTAAAATAAGATGAGGTTTGAAGGGTCTATGATAAGAAAACTCAGCTGCCAGATATTGGCAGTAGTCTTTGAATCTTGTACATACTATTCTTGAGTAAGAAAGAATCATCTAGGTTTTTTTTTCCTTTTTTTCTTCTATGCAGTTTGCAAAAGTTATTTAAAATGTTTTCAACACAGTGTTCATTTATTTTTTTAAAGTTGTCTTGCAGTCTTAAGAGGTGCAGATTTTTTCAAACTGATCTTGATGTGAGGACTTGATCAGTTATTATGAGTTACATTCTAGTTGGTATTTGCATTTTATGAATAGAATTACTCTGGCTAATGTAGAGCTATGGGGTTGCAAGTGTTCCACTCTAGATCGGGCTCTGCTGAGCCCTATAGAAGCTGCTCTAAAGGTCCCTCTGTGAATGGCTTTATGTTGCTCAGGTTCCACATGCAACCAATGTTTAGCCCACATAGTTTATTCATGCTGGGAAGAGTATAGTAATCTCTATAGGGAGCAGGGATGCGAAGGATGTCTCAGCAATAGGGTTGCCAAGTTTCTACTCACACAAAACCGAACACGCTTGTCCCGCCCTCTGCCCCGCCACTTCTCTGAGGCCCTGGCTCTGCCCCCGATCACTCAGTGCTCCCTCCCTCTGTCGCTTGCTGTCCTCACCCTCACTCACTCGCTCATTTTCACTGGGTGAGGGCTCTGGCTGGGGGTGTGGGCTCCGGGATGGGGCCAGGGATGAGGGGTTTGGGGCGTAGGAGGGAGTTCCGGGCTTGGGGGTGAAGCTGAGGGGTTCGGCATATGGGAGGGGGCTCTGGGCTGAGACAGGGGGTCGGGGTGTGGGAGGAGGTGTGGGCTCTGGGCTAGGGGTGTGGGTTCTGGGGTGGGCTCAGAAATGAGGGGTTCAGAGTATGGGAGGGGTCTCTGGGCTGGGGCAGGGGGTTGAGGTGCGGGGGAGAGAGTGAGGGCCCCGACTGGGGGAGCGGGCTTGGGTGGGGAACCTTTTTTCTGTCACAGACCATTGACCCACAGAAAAAAAATCAATTGCAGGCCACTTACCCGCCGGGGGGGCGCGGAGGCTAGGGACTCCCGCCGCAGCAGGGCGAGCAGGCGCTCACGGCTCCAGCCCCCCTGGGGGGGGGGGAAGGGGGAGAGGCTCAGGGATTCCCCCTGCAGCAGGGTGAGCCTGAGCTTGCAGTTGCAGCCTTGTGGGGGTGGGGTGGGGTGTGAGTGGGGCGGGTGGGCCGGATGAAATGAACCACAGGGCTGGATCCGTGGTGCCACACCCCTGCCCTAGGTGTTGGAGCCGGAGGGGGGACAAACATACTGGCTGCTTCTTGGGAGCTGCGCGGCGCTGATGCTAGCAGAGAGCCTGCCAGCCCTGCTGCACAGCGCCGCCAACCAGACAGTCAACGGCCCAGTCAGCGGTGCTGGCTGGAGCTGCCAGGATCCCTTTTCGACTCTACTCAGCAATGTTCTGAGTCATGATCCATACTTTTTAGCAGAAGCAAAATGTGATCCCCTCTTCCTTCTCTGGAACTTCCCACACCAGTCTGCTAAGGCCCCTCTCCGGCCCACCACTACCTATTTGCAGAGTCCATGTAATTCTTCATTATAGTTGAGTTAGAGGGATAGCTCGGGTGGCTTGAGCGTTGGCCTGCTAAACCCAGGGTTGTGAGTTCAATCCTTGAGGGGGCCACTTACGAATCTGGGGAAAAAAATCTGTCTGGGGATTAGTTCTCCTTTGAGCAGGGGGTTGGACTAGAGCAGGGGTCGGCAACCTTTCAGAAGTGGTGTGCCGAGTCTTTATTTATTCACTCTGATTTAAGGTTTCGCGTGCCAGGAATACATTTTAACGGTTTTAGAAGGTCTCTTTCAATAAGTCTATAATATATAACTAAACTATTGTTGTATGTAAAGTAAATAAGGTTTTTAAAATGTTTAAGAAGCTTCATTTAAAATTGAATTAAAATGCAGACTGGTGGCCAGGACCCGGGCAGTGTGAGTGCCACTGAAAATCAGCTCACGTGCCGCCTTTGGCACGGGTGCCATAGGTTGCCTACCCCTTGACTAAATGATCTCCTGAGGTGCCCTCCAACCCAACATTCTATTTTGGAGGGGAGAGGGATAGCTCAGTGGTTTGAGCATTGGCCTGCTAAACCCGGAGTTGTGAGTTCAGTCCTTGAGGGGGTCACTTAGCGATCTGGGGCAAAATCAGTACTTGGTCCTGCTAGTGCAGGCAGGGGGCTGGACTCGATGACCTTTCAGGGTCCCTTCCAGTTCTATGAGATAGGTATATCTCCATATATATTATTAAGGAAACAATTCACCTTTAAACACTAGTAGCCCAACATGTCCAGAACATATCATAGCAAACCCACTTACCATGTAATGCTTAAAATTGTTTGCAGCCTTACTGATGGTTATAAACATCGGTGGGGAAGGAATACTTCTGATGGTATCCTTTTTTTAAAATTCAAATGCAAAAATGTAGATAAGATCTTGAGGCTTAGGTTAATTCAGTTTCCCTACATATGCATTAGCACCTATTAGAATAAAAAATGCAACAAAAGTGTTACTGAAATTTCATGGCGTGGTTTACATTGTGCATATGTCAAGGCTTGTATATCTGGAGCTGTGTATTAGAAAGTAAGTTGATAGCCGTCCCTGAATGACACAATGCTATGGGGGTATATACCATGACTGTTCTAGGCCAATTTGCCAGGAACCTAATGGTGTACATGTGAGTAGTAAAAAATATACAGTTGTGATTAACTTCTCACCTGCTCCCTCAATCCATTTGTCAGACTCTTTGACAAGAGAAAAATGTCACCAGTTCTGACCCCTAGCCTTTGACATCTTTTTCACAGCTTTTATCTAAAAAAGCAAGTCAGCACATCTATTATCTTTTTTGATGAAATTTGTAGAGAGGTGCGTGCCTGTCAGAATGCTCATGCATCAAAAAAT